TTTCATTATATTCATACAGAGCATCCTTTTAACCTCCAGCATACTTTTAAAACAAAATTAACTCCCTATTTTTAGAGGTTTGTTATTGCAAGAGAAACAATTTAGATTTGTCCAAAGGCTGCAATCCTGCAACACTTACATGCTTATCCTGAAGGGTGAAAGTAGTGTCCATGAGGTCAATGGGACTTTTCATGTGCTAAAAATTAAGCAAGTGTTTGTTTGCAGGGCTGGGACCTTATTTCATATCTTAGCATAGCTATGGAACAGCTCATTGGTGGATTGTGGAACTGACTTGACCAATTAAGTTAAAAGTGACTCGAACGCCATTGCATGTAATAGTGCTCTGTGTCACTTTGTGCACTTAACCCTTTAAGAGGCATTGGTCCAGTCCACGTGCACTTCATTAACAGCCTCTTGATGGGTCCTGTTAACGTGGGTCTACACACTGCCCAGGGCAGTGAGCCTCCCCATCTGGGTTGAATGACTTAGTCTAGCAGGGTTTATGTACTGTGCTAAAAATAGTTGTGTAGATGCTGTGGCTCAGGCTCTGAAGCCTGGGGAGAAGGGTGGGCTTCAGGCCTGAGCCACAACTTCAAAGTGCTGTCTATAGAGCTATTTTTAGAGTGCCCCTCAGTATGCTGATTGAGGCTCGCTGCCCTGGGCTGTGTAAATATACCCATAGAGGGTTTCTGGTCTCTTAAAAGGGCCAGAGAGACAGGTAATAAGAAGAGGAAGCTGTAGCAGAGTGAAGCTAAAGAGAGCAGAAGGCTGTAGGTAAGTCTGAGGCTTCAGGGCCTACAAGACTCCAGCCAGAGAGTGAAGCTGGAAGGCTTGGATCCTCTCCTGGGAAAAGGGTAGAAGCCCCAGAACTGAGTTTGTTTTGAATTCTATACAACGAGATGAGGCCCAAAAGGGGAATGTGTCAAGTACTTTGGTCTGTTGGGGTTTATTTAAGGAGTCCTGAAAAGGGAAACTGCGGCAGGATGCTGCAGAGTCACCCTGGCTATTAGGATCTGTGTGGGAAGTGGCTGACTCTGGTCTAAGAGTTTTATGTAGTGATTGGCAAAACTTAAAAGGGCCAGGAGGTCAGTTCAGAGAAGCAATCAACACTTCGGATCATGGACATTTTTTGGATGAGTAAAACTGAGCAGAACTTCATGATGACAGGTTCTTGGCTCCAGATTTCTGGTGTTACTGCTTTTGGTAACCAGAGAAGTACCAGAAAAAGACTGCCTTTCTCACTAGAGATGGGCCTGAACCAAAACGTATGACTCAAGCAGCTCTGAACTTTACAGTATTCCAAATTTACTGACACATCATGATACATGTTGGCTCATAACATTTCTTCTCTAAAAGCAGATTAACAAAAAATCCCACTTTGAAGTGAGAAGACCTTGCACTACTTGGACAAATGTTTGGGTGAATTTTTTCCCCACCATGTAAAACTAATAGTTCTCAGAGACAAATACAGGTAACAGACTTTCTTCAGCACATATCTAGCTCTTCTTTCATTTTAAGGATCCTAGATTTTCTTCTTTATTTGATTTATGCACCAGTATCTTGGGCTAAGATTGAGAGACAAACTCGATAAAACAAGTACTGACCCAAATTTTTCTTCAAAGCATGAACTGAAGTAAGAGATGAAAAAGTTCACTTCTTTTTAGCATTTCCTTATACTCCTGCATTACCTTGTGGTGGGCCGGGATCAGAAATGGAAACACTGAACTATTGCATAAAAGTCTATTCACGTGGTATTTATGATTCAGCCAACACCACAAGAACCTGAAAATTTTTCAAGAAAGCAACTTCTGAGATTTTTTTTTTTTTAGCCCAGATTTCTAGTATGCAGATTCCAATTTCTGGATGCTTCTCGGCAACCCTAACTCTCAAGAGGTTCAAACTTTCTACTCACACAAAACCAAACACCCCTGCCCCACCCCTCCTCCGAGGCCCTGTCCCTACCCCACTTCTGAGGTCCCACCCCCACTCACACCATCCCCCCTCCTTCTGTCACTCGCTCTCCCAATCCTCACTCACTCACTCATTTTCATGGGGCTGGGGCGGGGGGTTGGAGTGTAGGAGGGGGTGACAGTTCCAGCTGGGGGTGCAGGCTCTGGGGCAGGGCCAGGGATGAGGGGTTCAGAGTGTAGGAGGGGGCTCTGGACTTAGGGGGGGTTAGGGTGTGGGAGGGGCTATGTGCTATGTATGGGGTGTGTGAATTGTAGGGTGGGGCTAAAAATGAGAGGTGCAGGAGGGGGCTTCAGGCTGGGGCAGGGGGTTGAGGCACGGGAGGGTGGGTCAGGGGTGCAGGCTCCCGATGGCACTTATCTCAAGCAGCTCCTGGAAGCAGCGGCATGTTCCCACTCCAGCTCTTATGTGAAGCTGCGGCAAGGTGGCTCTGTGCACTGCCCCATCCGCAGGTGCTATCCCCACAGCTCCCATTGGTCATGATTTCTGGCCAATGGGAGCTGTAGAGCTGGCGCTTGGGGTGAGGGCAGCA